GGTCACTCTCGATCCCCATGATAAGAGTCTGACAAGCAAAAGAGAGGACTCAGTGTGGGCGAATTACGCATACACAACAAATCCTAACACAAAAAATGTAAGCACTTACTTGCAAAGGCATGATGGATATACCCGACCATAGGTCGACATCATTCATTGCCTGTAGCACCGTGTTCTCAGAAGCCGCACAAAGGGGAGCAAAGGCAGGTACCGCCCATTCCGAGTTAGCCAAAAGGTCGTAGTCTACAGGAATGACTATGTTCCGATTAGGACCCTCCGTCCTTATCTCCACACGGGTGTCCCTCTCCAAGAAGGCTCGTACCTCCTCGGGGTCGATATCCAAGCCTGAGTCGTCATCTCTCACGGGGACAGCCTACTCCCCTCGGCTGTCGATGATGCGCCACTTTCTGCGATCGGTGTAAGCTCTTTGTTACCATGAACCCCCTCAACCTCAGAGGGCCTCCTCTTCATAACGGCACCTGCCGTGGAAACGGTCTCTACGTCTGGTATAAGCACAGATTCTGCCTCCAAAGCGATGAATTTTTCCGGTTCGGCGTCAACAACAACTACCTTCCCGGTTTCCACCCTTCGCCTTTTCCTCAACGGTGACTCCTCATTGTCAGACGGCTCATCTACAAGATGATAGATGGGCTGGGAAGATATCCCATCCTGCACGACAATGGTTTGAGGGGCGGAGTCCCTCATCGGCGGAACTTGAGTCCGACTTCCTCGAGCGGACTCAGCTAGGGCAAATTGCATTCCAGCAGACGCAACAACTTGGCGAAATGCAGGCACCAGAGCCTTCTTCTTGGAAACTCGCTGACCTAGCACCAAAGGGAGGTCTCATCAAAGAGCAATGGTAAACAATAATAAACTGAAGAAATGACACTCACTGGACGGGATCTTGGGTCCAAAACGCTTGTGGAAGGACCCCCAATCACGAATTCCCCAATGTGGGGCAACACGCGAGCCACCCAATCTTCAATATCGAAGACCGGAGAAGGTGCACGCCTCTCAACTGAAAAACAAAGAAGTCGCGAGTGAGCCGAAAATGAGAGGATGAAATAAAAATAACGAGCATACGGTAAGATACTTACAATTATAGTTCCATTGCTCGAGAAACCCAGTCGGGTCTGCCACCAGGTGCTCGGTCTTGATGAAGAAGTACTTCTGCCAATATAGCCTCTTCGTCTTGTCGTCCATCCCGTCCACCAGTCCTCTAGTCCCACGATGTTGTAAGAGTATCAAAGTACCTCTATAAAAGCTAGGCGAAAATAGATACAACAGGTGGTGAAAGTTGACCTCACAGCCAACCAACTCTGCATACTTCGCCAACATCAGGAAAACCTTATACAAATAAGGGGAGAGTTACGCTGGGAAGATATTGTAAAATTGGCAAAACTCCTCCCTCAACGGGAGGAGAGGAAGAGAATAACCAATTAAGAATGAATAGACGTAGAAATCACAATATCCGGGTCGATGAACCTCTACAATGTCGCTTCCAATCGGAACATAAATAAGTTTAGATACAAAACTTGTACTAAATAAAGAATTATTATTTCAACTTAAAATTAGTGTATAAGATTTTCAACGAAATTTTAATTGATTCTTGCTCAAAAAAGGATACCTACCATAACTGAATTATACACAAATTTAATTAAAGATACCTATAGAAAATCTTGTACTACTACTTCGGCCGCGGACGAGAACAATACCAAGGCCCTCCAAAGCCACCCTCCTCCACCCGCATCATCCAAATGATCATCAGCGGAGACGATGAAGCAGCAATCAACCACGTGAAGTTTACCACCACACACAAACTGAAGCGGTCGATTACCCACGAACTGTATGATGATCTCGAAGACAGTATCATCTTCGATAATTCAGATACACACGGTTTGACTTTTCCTCACTTCGACGCTCTCGTCATTACTTTACATATTTCGGATACTGATGTAAAAAGAATAAGTTGGCTCATCCTCGGTTGCTCATTAGCTCCCTCAGGTGCCCTTGGTTTAGCATGTTCACTACCTCTTGCCGTAGGGCTATGCAATCCTCGGTTTTGTGACCTCGCTCCTGGTGAAATTCATAGAGGACATTCGACTTTCGGGTACTTGGGTCGGACTTCATTTTTTGCGGCCACTTCACCTTTGTGCAGAGCTTCTCTAGTGCGTACACTATTTCTGAAGGGGAAACACAAAAATTGTGAGCAGATAAAAGTGGAGGCATACCTCTTTCATTTCGTTGAGTCCCTGTATGTGGCCTGGACGACCCTTACGCATGTCGAGGAGATGGAGGGATGACTGTTCTGACATAGGGTTGATGCATGTCTCGGTTGAGGCGGGGACCTGACTGATCTCTTCGACTGTCATTACGGCGATCTTTCCTCGACTCCATTTGGACCGATGTTAGCCATTGGGTGGGATCGTTAAGGTTGTCCTCGTATGCTCTCACCTCGGCGCAGTGGGCATTGTGAATTTCTTCCCATGTGGTGGGAGGGTATTTCATGAGCCTGCTTAATAACTTTCTAGTCGCTCTCGACCCATTCCTGCTCAACCCATTTTGGAAAGATACCACCGCCATACCTTCTGATACATTTGGTAATCTCATTCTTACTCTATTAAATCGGGCGAGAAAGTCCCTAAGTCCTTCGCCAGGCGATTGCCTAACGGCGAGTATATCATTCACTTTGGCCTCCGCCTTCTTAGCCCCAGCGTGGGTGGTGATGAACTTGTCGGCCATTTCTTCGAACGTTGTTATTGATCGTGTCGGTAATTGTTAATACCAGGTTAAGGATCCCCCCGTTAGGGTCTTGCCGAACTTCTTCAATAATACTAATGGTATCTGTTCCTTCGAAAGGTCGTTTCCTTTTACCGCTGTGATGTAATGAATGATGTGATCTTCAGGGTTTGTGGTGCCGTCGTATATCTTCAAATACGATGGCATTTTGAAGGTCTTGGGTATGGCATGTAGGGTTGCCTTCTCGCTGTATGGTTGTTCGACAAATCGGCCTACATTCCATTTTGGTAATAGTTTGGGGCGCGCGGTATTTTATCGACCCTTTCTTGATGTTCCTTTATCTGGTCGCAAAGTGTTTTGTTCTTGTTTTCTATTTCTTCCATTTTCTTTAGAATGGCTGCAAATGCGTCATTACCTGCATCAACAGTGGTGTAAGTGTTACCTGTTGTGGGAGCGGGTTGTTCGCCGGTGGTCGCTGTGGTATCTACTTGGGCGATGTTTCTATTCGCCCTTTGAACGGGTTTGTCGAGTATGTTATTCAAAGTAATTGTCATCCACTCCTCTAGTAACTTTTTTACTGCTGGTGGTGCTTCCTCGGTAGTGGACGTGGAAGCTCCCCTTTCGCGTGAAGCGATTATACTTCCATGAGGGGGAGGTGAATCACTTCACCTGGGTGTAGCACTTGGCATCACATTCTCGTCGTCTTCTCTGTCATCCTCGTTGATGGTGTTTAATATGTTGGTAGTGACACCTACTATTGCTTTCTGTCTTTCATCTCCTTTTCATGCTATTGTTAGTTCGTGCAAACAAGGAAAAAATTACTGTCCTTTTTAATGATCTAGAAGAAACTAAAATTTTAACTAAAAACTCTCCACAGACGGCGCCTAATTGTTCGACCAAAAAGTATTGAGCTTTTTGTTAAACTAATTAATGATAAAGCAGAGGATGATTATTAGTTAAATATAATAAATTCTAGATCTAATTTTGAAGGATATCAACAACACATATAACGTTTAAGGGTAGTGGATATAGATATGAGCCCAATGATTGCCAATGAATGTTATAATAATAAGAACATGCAAAAAATGTAGACAATGCCAATAAATGTAATAAGAGGGAATTTATCACCCAAATATTATGTTACTTGGATGATTCTTCCACCTGACAGCAACGTGGAAGGATGGGAAGTGAAGATGGATAGGAAATCCTCGGATCTAGCAAACAGAGAATGAATAATATATGTTTAGCCAAGTAGTCAGTGAACAAGACAATATTTATATATTCCTCTTTGTCAACTCTTTACAAAGTATGCTTATCAAGAAAAGTGAAGATGCCTTTTTGTTCTCTATCTCTTCCTATTTATAAGAAATATTCTCAAGAAAACTTAAATAGTACAATATAAGGAATATCCAAACGAATATTCCTTGTGTCAAATCCTAAGCTTATCCTACCGTTACTTCTTTATTCCAGTTGCTCACCCTCGGCAAAATCCTTATGAGGACGACCCCTCGTTGTAATGCCGTGGTCGACCCCGTCCTCGACCTAATTTATCTACAATTATCAAATCGCCAAATTTAGACCAATACACAAACGACCCCTTAGTGTTTTTTTAAAAGGTAAAGAATAAAAGGAAACTACGGGTGTAAGCGTAAGATTTCTTTAATGTATAAGGTGCAAGTATTTGATTTTGAAATATAAGAGGTATATCCGAAACTGAGTCATATAACAATGATATTTAGTGTAATTAACACTTAGATATTTCCTGGTAGTTCAGATGGTCTTTGTTTTTACAGAACCGATGGACATCAATTGCGGTTTAATTAACCAATCTTTAACTCCACTTCAATGGTTTCTAGATATTTTTACCTAACTCAACGACAAGTCAATAGAAACAAAAGCTGCATTACGCTACGTGTGCTACTATGTCATCTACCTCTATCAATTATTTGGAGGTTTTGTTGACAGACAATTAAGGGAGTATTTAATGATTATTCATTAACCTTCAAAATCCCGATTTGTTTGATATGTCGGTTTTGTTTCCATTTATTTAAGATTAACCTTGATAATAGAGGATGCCATTGCCAACATTACACATATTTATTTATTTGTTTGTTTTTGGTTCTCCAAAATCATGAAAACGAGTTTAACCTCTATATGTTGATTGTTATATTATTGGGGTATTTAAAAAAAATTACTACTGTATATAATTAATAACTTCAAATAATACAAGTGGTAACTTACTACTACCACATAGTGGCTAAAATCTTGAATCTGGTGTGAAGGGAGAGTACAACCCTAGGAAAAACCAACCAAAGTTTGACATAAAATGGCAAAAAACCACCCAAATCCCAAAAGGCTTAAAATGACAGTCGTAGGAAAAAGGAAAAACCTTAGGCCTATTTGGACTATCCGACCAAAACGCGTTTTTCTTGTAAGTCTTGTCTGAATTACTACAACTATTTACTGTTACATCAGCATATAGCAACTTCTCTCATATTGATGCTTAAGCTGCATGTAAGTATAGTATGTCAAATGTTAATGCTACAATTTTCCTTAAATAAATGAAAAACCCAATACGAGTTTAAAGACCAATTCTTACTTTCTTGAGCTTAAGTTTTCACTATTTATTCTTCTAATCAAGATCTCATTTTTTTTCTCCTTCTCAGTTCTTTGACCTTCCCATGTCATAGCACAAATTCTCTTTCTAGTAATTTATCTTGTTCTTTGTGATTCATGAAGTTTTATTATCAATTTACTATGTTTGTGGTTTTGATTACTTGGAAACTTTGATTAATCTTTTGGTTAATTTATTCTATTTTGTATATATCAAGGTTAGTTGCAGGGACTTGGATATTGTTTTTCAGCTCTGTTTGAATCTTGATTTGGTGAGCATAGAATTAGTGCTGGATTTCAATTCTTGTTGACTTGTTTGTAGTTAATGAGGGGAAGTTTGACTTTTTTCTTGGTATTGGATTGTTTGGTTGAAGTATCAAGATCTTGTTGATTTCTTGGGACATTATAGAGCTCTATGAAAAGAAAGATCTTAGTGTAGGAAGGAACTACAACAAGGGGTAGTGTGTACGCACACCTTACGAGTTTAGGAAGGAACTATAGGAACAAATGGGGAACACTTGTGTAGGACCAAGCATTTCTAAAAATGGGATCTTTCAATCAGTTTCAGCAGCAATGTGGCGATCCCGGTCGCCCGATGACACTGCTTCCACCACTAATGGTGAAAGTGCTAGAATTGAAACACCAATTTCTGTTAAAGAACCTGATTCACCTTTGCCAGTTCAAGAGCCACCAGAACAAATGACAATGCCTAAGTCAGAAAAGAAAGAAGAAGAAAAAGAACAACCAAAAAAGCCCAAAAAGCCTGCTGAAATGAAGAGGGTGTCAAGTGCTGGCCTTAGGACAGATTCTGTGTTACAAAAGAAAACTGGAAACTTAAAGGAGTTTTTCAGTATAGGAAAGAAATTAGGACAAGGTCAATTTGGAACTACATTTAAATGTGTCGAAAAGGCAACAGGGAAGGAATATGCTTGCAAATCGATTGCTAAGAGGAAGTTGTTAACAGATGATGATGTGGAAGATGTTAGAAGGGAAGTACAGATAATGCACCATTTGGCAGGACATCCTCATGTTATATCGATAAAAGGTGCTTATGAGGATGCTGTAGCTGTTCATGTAGTTATGGAGTTTTGTGCTGGGGGTGAGCTTTTCGATAGGATTATTCAACGGGGGCACTATACAGAAAGAAAAGCAGCTGAGCTTACTAGGACTATTGTTGGAGTTGTAGAAGCTTGTCATTCTCTTGGTGTCATGCATCGTGATCTTAAGCCTGAAAATTTTCTCTTTGTTGATCAGAAGGAGGATTCACTTCTCAAAGCAATTGACTTTGGGTTATCGATATTCTTCAAACCAGGTTGTTTGTATGATATGTACTTTCCTTCTTTGAAACTGATTTGATATGTACTTTCTCAGTTAAGGGGTACAAAATAGGCTCGGAATGTAGTAGAAAGAATATGTTCTTTATGATTTTGCTCAGTATAGCTAAAACAGGAAATAAGATGTGTTTCTTTTTGTGAAGTCCAAAAAGTATCTCCAACCCTTTTCCTTCATTGGAGACATTGAAGGGATAGATTGAAATTGTCTTTCTCTTTAAAGTGACTCTTTTTATTAGTTGAAATTTCCACACTGAACAATTTGAAAATATCAAGTGCTTTTGTTGCGGCGTGTTCAACATGTTGTTTCACTAAAGCTGTCTCAGAATAATATTGGAATTTTAACCAGGCTTATCATACTAGCAGTCTGTTATATTGACTTATATGCATAAACTATCCTTTGATTCACTGTGGTTCGGATTGTATGAACTCTTCAACGTCTTAAAAACTTATTATACAGCCATCTGATTCATTTTAACATTTTTTCTCCTTTATTCTATTTTGGCCGTATTTGTTCTTTCCAAACTGCTTATTAGTCGATATTTTTTTTCTCTTTTCCAGGCGACAGATTTACTGATGTTGTTGGCAGTCCATATTATGTTGCACCAGAAGTTCTCCGAAAACGTTATGGTCCTGAAGCTGATGTTTGGAGTGCTGGTGTAATTATCTACATCTTATTAAGTGGAGTACCTCCTTTCTGGGCTGGTAAGGATTCCCAAGTCACCAAAATTGGCATTTCTTGGAAACTTTTCACTTTATTTTGTAGCTCTCTTATCTGGTTCTCTGAAGTTCTTAGTTTTCTGCTTCAATTTCATTTTCAATAAACCTAGGATGTGCATTTGTTATCCCACTGACTCATTTTAGTACATGGACATTCCAACACCTCTATCAGCTATCTCTTTCACTTGTCCACTACTACCTCTCACTCTAACCCAAGTTATTAGAGAGTGGCAGGAATTGCTGTTCATTCTTTCTGTCGTGATTTGTGTCAAATTCCTGTTGCGCCCCTCGAGAGAAGATTTGGAAATGATTGAGGTTCCCCTTTGTGAGCCTATTCCTCCCGTGCAAGAAGGGCAGTGGTTTTATTTTCACTCACGGATGACTAAATCAGTTTAAATCCAATTAGCATATTCTTTCTTCAGTATTTAATTCATGTGATTATTCTTTGGATTTTTAAATAGGCAAAGTTATTAGTTTGTTTAAGATCTCCCTGCGAACTATTTTGGATTTGGGTTCTGATTGTGTTCTGGTACTTAAAATTACTTAAACAATGTCAAGATTCAAAAAGTGCAAGAATGAATAAAAGAAATGATCCAGAGAGTTTCAGTTTGTTGAAATAAAAGTGCAAGTACGTAGGAACATTGGAAATTTTTACCAGGCTAAGATTGACCGTGTGATGGCCAATGGAGGTTGAAGTGTTCTGTTGGTTTATCCATTGGTAGAGAAGTGGACGGTAATAGAAATTAGAAAGATGACTGATGTAACGGTTGGTTAAGACAAGAACAGATGAAAGGGACCTCCTTTTTTTTTCTTTACTTGAATTTTGGCGTAAGGAGAAATACCGGGTTGTATAGATAGTTGGTCAAACTTGGTAGATAACTATGGACGATTCCGGCTGAGTCATTACACAACCTGTGCATATTCTTTGAGACTGACTTGGTTTTTGTTAATGACATCTGTGTGTGTGTGTATGTTGTCTAGATAGCTGTATATTCAAAGCAAGCCTGTAAACAATTGAACGTATATGCATGGAAGGGAACATTGGAAAGATTTGCTGGAATCAAATACTGCCCTTCAACCACGTATCATCTTTTTTTAATCGTTTTCCTGAACTCATTTTTTTTTATCATACAGAAAATGAGCAAGGAATATTTGAACAAGTCCTGCACGGTGATCTTGACTTCACGTCAGACCCATGGCCAAGTATTTCAGAAGATGCAAAAGACTTGATGAGGAGAATGCTCGTTCGAGATCCGAGAAGACGTTTAACTGCACATGAAGTTTTATGTAAGTAGTTTAACAGCTTGTCTTTTTTCTGATTTTTGGATTTTAACATGTAAAAAACAACTGAGCTAATGTGGGTGAATTCAATAATATTTGGTACTTCAAAATGATTATCAATCTCTAGATTTGTTACAAGAGCTGCTGGCTTAAAGCTTCTCTCTCTCTCTCTCTCTCTCTCTCTCTCTCTCTCTCTCTCTCTCTCTCTCTCTTCTTGCCGTGCCTCTCCAAACATAGTATTCTCACTAAGATAGTTTGTTCTGTACTCATTATTCTCTATCAAGCACAATTATGCTACAGATCATTGCCATAAATTAGTCTCCTCAATTTCTTGGGCTTAAGTTTTTGAGGGCCCGGATGATTGACAATGCATGAAATAAAATATAGTTAATCAGATTATCAGCTAATAACAAACTCGCTGCAAGATTGTCAGATCACTATGGTATGCAATGCAAGTACAATGGTTTTCTTTCTTTTGGTTCTTCTTGTTCTGATGTTGCGAGCAGTTAGTGGATGGCTTTTCTTCTTTTTGTCTTATGAAAAGACAATTAAGTTTTTTAAATTGACTTTATTAAGTAGAATCTATACATATTCCTTAAAATTTTTGTTTCTTCTACATGGTATAATCTCTTATGCTTATCATCTTGTGTAATTATCTGTCTTTAGATCATGTACCTGTAAAAAGTGCGCTCTTGCCTATTAATTTTATTCTTTTCTTTTAAAATCCTGTCAATGAACTCAACCCTTCCATTCCGAACCTTTTTCTTTAAATGAGAAATTTGACTAGTCACTGAGGGTGATATTGAAACTTTTGTAGGCCATCCTTGGGTACAAGTTGATGGTGTGGCTCCCGATAAGCCTCTGGATTCTGCAGTTCTGAGTAGAATGAAGCAATTTTCTGCAATGAACAAGCTCAAGAAAATGGCTTTGAGAGTGAGTCTATCAATTTGCAAATACCAATGATGTTGACTCTAATTTATGAACATATTGGAGATAAAATATATTGGTTGAAACTAGTCTGCTAAATATTATACGTTATACGTGTTACAGGTCATTGCTGAAAGCCTATCCGAAGAAGAAATTGCTGGTCTTAAAGAAATGTTCAAGATGATAGACACAGACAATAGCGGTCAAATAACTTTTGAGGAGCTCAAAGATGGGTTAAAACGATTTGGCTCTAATCTGAAGGAGTCCGAGATCTATGATCTTATGCAGGCAGTAAGTCTCTTATTAGTCCTTTATCCAGATTTTCTTGTTCAAAAATCTATATTATAATTCTAGCAGTAAATCCGATATCTATGATCCACTGAGATAGCAGAATGTAGACAATTGTTTCACCTTTTTTCACGAGTTTTTTTTGTTTGTTGAAAGTACTGAAATTGTTTATCTGAAGATATGTAACTTACTGAAAAATAATCTTTTTGCTTGACGCTACCATTGTATTAATCCAATTATAGCATGTTCTTTATGCAATCAAAGTTTCTGTAAGTGGGTGCACTTGTGATCTACTCATTGTTCTGTGGAGGGAAAGAACTAAGAAAAAAATTCATTAACTTTACCCTTTTCATTGTTGTGATACTCTATATTTCAAAATCTGTCGTCGGTTTATAATCAAAGGTTTAGATTGGTTTAGCTTTGTGACATTCTCAAATCTCTTATTCAGCCAACACAAAGATGATGGCATACTTGAGTAACTATTTTAATTGTCTGAATTTGCAGGCTGACGTTGATAACAGTGGAACAATTGATTATGGTGAATTTATAGCTGCAACATTACATATGAACAAAATTGAAAGACAAGATCATCTTTTTGCTGCTTTCTGTTACTTCGATAAAGATGGAAGTGGCTACATCACTGCGGATGAGCTTCAACAAGCTTGTGAAGAATTTGGCATTGGGGATGTCCGCATGGAAGAAATGATCAGAGAAGCTGACCAAGACAATGTAAGTTCCATTTCTCACCACTTGATATTAATTCCTACTCCCTCCGTTTCAATTTGTGTGAACCTATTTCTTTTTTAGTCCGTGAACAAAAGGAATGGTCTCTTTCCCTACTTGAATCAATTTACCTTTATGAAATGATTTATATCTACACAAAATATATATGCCTCATTTTACACCACAAGTTCAAAAGTCTTCTCTTCTTTCTTAAACTTCGTGCCCAGTCAAATAGATTCACATAAATTGAAACGGAGTATTTTAAAGGGGTGTCGGGGAAGGTTTTGATCAGAGAGAAAACATAAGCTGTCATAGTGAAGTCAATGGCCAAGTGGCTGAGGCATGGGAGTAACAACTTGAGATCTTGAGTTCGAAGCCCAGCTACAATACTTTTGTGTGAGTCCATCTTTTCTAGTCTTGGAGGGTAGGATTATCTTCATTAACTTTGCTTGTGGGCCGGACAGGGTGTCTGGTTTACTAGTCAAGTTACGTGCAATCTGGCCCAAACACCACCGATATTAAAAAGATGGTTTAGACCGATATTAAAAAGATGGTTTAGGACTTGGAACTGATTAAAACCACTTTTCTTATCACCAAAATTATCGGGTTCTTGCTGCAATTTAATTTACCAACAAGGAACTTTTGACAGGATTAAAAAGATTTACTTCTTTTTTGCAGAATTTCAAGCAAGTTATTGGTTCCAAAAAGACTAGAGCTTTGTTGCCTTTCTCCTCTTTATATATTCCATTATATTCATACTGGTTTCTTAGCATTCACATCATTAAACCTACTCAGAAGATGTCTAAATCCTAGTAGTAGTCAACATTTTTCAAAGAACTAAAGAACGTCTTCACTCGAAAATGGAAGATATCCAGAAATGACTATGTTATTCCTATACAAATTGGTTTATATTGGCTTAATGGTGAATTTTCCTATTAAGTGTGATGGTGCTACCATGTGCAACATGCGCTGATTGAGTGTGTGGTCTCGTTGATAGCAAATTCTCTTATTATATTTTCAGGACGGGCGCATTGACTACAATGAGTTTGTTGCTATGATGCAAAAGGGAAATCCAGTGCTAGGTGGTGGCAAGAAAGGTCTAGAGCATAGTTTCAGCATTGGATTCAGAGAAGCAGTAAAACTATAGAGAGCCTTGAAGAGGAATTTTTTTCTTCCTTAGTGTTTGTCTATTATTTTCTTGTGGAAATTTTTCTGTTACTAGGAGTGTATAGTAATTAGCTAGTGCTTGCTAAACAGCATCTTTGTTTTCCAGTGCACTTTTCAATTCTTTCCAATTTTGTGCAATTTTTCATTTAATTATCTTTTATCTGGCAGTTATACCCTACTGAGTAACTTGTTTAACATGGTAGTAACAACATTCAACTTCATCCTGTTTATTTGAATCTTCATTTACTCAAGTGGATGTAAACTATCAATATATTCACAAATCTTGCAAGATACAAACTGTTTAGCTAAATTATGGATGATGTTGTTGGCAATATAAGTTTCAAAAGATTTATTGGCCAAGTTGAAGATTTATTACGAGCTGTTTCCCTCTCCACTATGAAGCTTTATCTCCCCTTGTCTCACTAACCGAGCTTGGCCCATGTTATTTTGATATCATATTGAGTATTCGATTTGGTATCGTTCTCGCAACCCCTAACCACAACTTATCCACTGATTCTTCAACATCACTTGGTTCGCACCTCCATTGATTTTACCCTAGCTTCATCCTAGTCATAGATAGATGATACGTACGCGAAAGCAAAATAATAAGAACACAAATAAAATGATAGAAAGATAGAGATTTAGTAGAGAACCAACTAAGGAAATTGAAAGAACACTTGACCTAGAACTATAGGAACAACCCTTAAAGGGAAGCAATCCCCTTGCAAGTTCACCTTAACAAGTAATCAACCAACATACGAATTCATCCTAAACACTCTCAATGAGTTTTCATTCATAATATCAAAATAAGCTAACTCTCAAATGAAAGCCTTAAGGGCTATTTATACTAGGGAGCTAAATATTACAAATATAGCCACCAAATATAGTATAGTCTTTAATTGTTGGCGAAATTATATATGTAGCCGTCCCATTATGAAATTAGCCTCCAATGCTCGATGGCTATCTAGATTGAATCAGCAGATCACTTAAGTTCGGGTCTATAAGCATATGACAATTGTCCTGTGAGACCCGCTTTCGCTATAAGCTCCGGTGGGTTCCTTTAGTCAAGTCACTATGATTTACCGGCAGTGGATAATGTATATAACGAATTTCAATGAATTTGATGATTCTTGCAACGTTGATTATTGATTTATTTATTTAAGTAGCATTGGCTATTGATTTAATGGCAACTATATAATGATATATTATTTAAATTCTACATATAATTAGGGAGCCAAATCACTAAATCAAACTGTTCATACGGGAGACACCATTCTTCTTCCTCCACTTTTACAATTGATAAAATTATAAGGAAAAAAAAAACATTCATCCATTCCGTGGCTGGGCATGGATGCGACTCTATAGTCTATAGCACAAAAGAATATTTAGTGCAACGATTGCCTGGAAATGTGCATGCGACCTTAAATGAAGTATAACCGAACATCTTTTCATGTGCCAAATACACCTAACATGTTTGAGAAATACCTAATATAAATTTAGGGGCTGTTTGGTACAATAGTGGATATCCCATGGGATTAGTTATCTCACAAATATTATTATTTTAGTATAAAAGTTATCCCGGTATTAATTAATACCCCAAATCAAATATGGGATAAATTTAATTCCGCGATTATTATTCTTATCACATGTATCAAATGACCTCTTAAGTTAGTGGTAAGAGCTCAACACGTGATGTATGCATGTCATGATTTCAAACCTAAGTTTGATATTCAAATGAATATATAAGGGTAAATAGACGAACACGTTATAATTCAACGAAAATAGAATCATATGCCACTGATCCTCGAGAATTACTGGATTATAAACAAAACATGAAATGAAAACACGATAGAATTCGCAAGAGGACGATGTACTACTGAAGTAAAGAGTAAAACGGTAGTGACACCACCACAAATATTTGTAACTTTTTAGTAGTTGCATCAGTACAGGCAATACTAAAATTACAGTCACAGGCGCCAAAATTTGGTCACCCACTGGCCCGCCCACTTTTCTCAATTTAACAACATTCAAATTATACAGATCCTCACGCTCCTCAGATCTTTTTTTTTTTTTTAAAAAAAATTAACTCCACACATTTTTTATAAAATACTACAGTAGTGGAGTTTTTTTTTCTTTTTCTTTTTCGCTTAATGCTTATTCCATTAAATTAAAAAATAATAATAACGGGCATCGCTTTCTGCGTCTGTCCAACGAAAATAAAACCCTAATTTTCCCCTCTCTCTCCATTTCTTTCTCTCTCCAATTTTGGTACTCGGTGCGGTGTTCTCTCTCTCTCTCTCTCTCTTCTCTTTCAGTAAAATGGCAACGGCGGGCGAAGGCACGGCAGCGGCGGCGGCGGCATACGAAGGAGGAGGAGCCGGAGGAAAGTTTAGGAAAAGGCCGTTACGTCGGAACCAGAATAATACTCCGTACGATCGTCCACCGACGGCACTTCGAAACTCTAGTTGGCTTACTAAGCTCGTGGTGGACCCCGCATCAAAGCTCATAACTTCTGGCGCTCAACGCTTCTTTTCCTCCATATTCCAAAAGCGCCTCCCCCCTTCCCCCACGCCATTACCTCCACCTCCTCCAGGTTTTTACTCCCCGTGTAATTTTTTTAAAAACATTTTGTACTGTATATTGATTTATGTAATTGCGTGATTTATCAATTAATGTGATTATTGGTCTCATTTAGTGGAAAATATTGTGTTGTTTGGAGGATTTTCAAGAGTTATTTTGCTAGGCGGTAGTTATAGTACAATTGGTCTCATGTAGCGGGAAAGATTGGATATTTATGAGGGTTTTGAAGAGTTCGTTTGATTTTTGTTGGAGGAAGAAAGGATGGGGGGTTTTTCATGATGATTGGATCTGAGTGTATGTTGGTTGTTCAATGATAAATTGATGTTTGAAAATATTGTCTTTCGTTGTCTGTGATTTCTAGCTGCAAATTTTGGGTTCTTTAGGGATATAGTTAGAGATTTAGAGCTTCCAATTGGTAGTATTGCTTTGTCTAACTACGAAACTTGAGAAACTGATAGTTGTGTTCATTGGGGTGTGCAGCAGAACAGTTGATTACTGATTTGTGCTGCTGCTTGAGCTTGTATAGTTAAGTGGATGGAGTTTTTACCATGTTTGATATCGTTATGAGGTTCGACTTTAATATATGATTGTTTCTGCTTGCTACTCGAGCTTATATAGTTGCGAGGATGGAGTGTTTATTTTACCTTGTTTGATTACTGATTTGTGCTGCTGCTTGAGCTTGTATAGTTAAGTGAGTTTTTACCATGTTTGATATCGTTATGAGGTTGATTTTTATTTTACCTTGTTTGTAATTGTTATGGGGTTCTAATGAAATAGACAAGTTTTAGGTCTTTCTACTTGAGCTTATATAGTCACTGAGACCGAGGATAGAGTTCTTACCATGTTCGAGATCGTTATGGGGTTTGACTTTAGTATGAATTCTTTTGATTTTTCACTACTTTTAAGTTTTTATAGGATTAGTTGAGAAAGCACTGGAAGGGACGTTGAGCTGTACATTTTTACAGATGTGGATTGAACTATTTTCATGGAATTGGCTGCTTGTGACTGAACTAGAGAATCTTTTTGACCTTGTTGAGTCAACTTAGATGTTCCTTTCTCCTTCCATCTGATCATTGTTGTCAGCTGAGAAACCCACTGGCTATTCAGCTATTTGGTTGGAAGTGGCGATGGTTTCTGTTGGGATGATACCTTTGTTTGAGACCAACTAGATTGGAATTAAGATGTAGTTTATGGATTGATATTATTAAACTGAAGTAATCTTTGAATGGTGTACTAGTAGCATTCTCTTAGCATTCTGCTTTCAACAATGACTTCATTTTGATATAAACAGGACCAAGCCAAGAATCAAAGGATCTGCATCAGGAGTCAAGTCCCAATGTAAGTTTATTATTCTTGAATTTTGTTCTCAAAGCTATGGTGCCTTTATAATTGATTATGTGATTATATGTCTTCCAAGGCATTGCAGCTTGTGTATTCTTTTTTTTTCCTGCTATAATCATAATCTATTAAGAAATGTATGTTTCACTCAAAATTTATGATGAAAGCTGATAACACCCCCATGCTATTCTTGTGGGAGCATTGTGCTGATGTACTAATTTTTGATTATGTGGATCATCTGTTTCCTAATTGGCAACTTTTGTATTCCTTCCGTGCTGACTGTCATCCTTTCTTTTAGTGACCATGTGTCCAAAAGAGCTCAATAATTTGTCAAGTAGTTTTATTGAAGTCATCGCTTTCTTGCTCAAATCAATGCAAAGCAAGGAGTTATTGCTTCCAGGTTGAAGTCACGCCCCTTGGAGAAATCTGTGCTCCAAACAATGATGTGCAAAGTGATAAAACGAAAAATGTGGATGGATCTCAATCTGGAGGAGTTGGAACAATATCAGAATTACTGTATATCTGATGCTGAAATTAGCTATTTTAGTTACAATTTGAGTAATATAGTACCTTTTTTTTTGATAAGGTAAATTGTATTAATCAAAAGGGAGAAAACTCCCGTATACAAGAAGTATACCAAAAAGTAGAGAATTTACATCAGAACATAATTAATATAGTACTAAATTCATATATGTTTGGTATTATTAATTTTTCGTATATTATGCGCTTCACTTCTGACTTTTCACCTCAAGCCCCATGAACTTTGTCACACCTCTGGGCGCTTTGCTTTTGAGAACACTGCTATTAAGAAATGTTTGCTGATTTGCTCTACCTTAGATGTATATATGGTCAATGCTAATAAAAGTGTCCCCTCTGGGAAACATTTCTTCCTCTCTGTGAAGGAGTATTCTGGAGCACTAGTGGTGGCAGGACAAGGAGATGACCATGCTGCATGCAGCTCGGGGGACGGCACATTCTCAGAGCTTGAGCAGCTGTTGAAACAGAAGACATTTACAAGGTAAGATTTGTGATAATTAACTGGGTCACCTAAAGAAGAACTTTACGATAACCCTTTCCGGAAATTCTGGTAACTAGTCGTTGTAGAAGCATCTGTTTCTCTTTTGATGAGGTAACGTAAAATCTTCTTCTTCCAGCCTCTAGTGGTGCTGGGCCTCTGCATTACAAAATAACAAAAAATCAGTATTACTGCACATTTATTGAACTAATAAATTCTATCATTTGATCTGTCTCGCGTACATCTGCCTCATTTTGCATTGCTTCACTGCTTTGACCGACAAAATGATGGATTTAA